ACACTAACCCATGAAGATACATAATGACCCATACAGACACACACTGACCTATAAGGACACACACTGACCCATATAGACTGACATACACAAACATACTGACTTAAGCAGACTAACACATATTCTCTGACACACATCTTACCTCCATTGCTGTTCCTATGTTGCCTGGTCCTGGTGGCCCATCACTTCTCAGCCCTGCCTCTGCTATCCTCACGCCCACTTGCCCCCACGTACAGAGGAAGGGGCGGGAGCGAGCAATTGAAGCATCCTCACGCTGCTTCAGCAGTGCATGTCTGGGGGGACAGCCTGGCTTGGAGGGCTGACGTGGATTCCGCCGGAACGGTGTTCTACCAGGCACTAGTGAGCAGCAATGCTCCCTAGCTCCCGGTAACATGGCCAGCAGCACACTCGAAATAAAAGAGGGGCGGCAAACTTGAACATAAAGTCAGGCCCTGCTCTTATCACAGCTCTAAATGCCTTCAAGATGGTGGTGGAATGTGGGTGGGCACAGTGGGTGGACCATGAATTGAGCTATGCAAGGGCTTAAAAATGTCTATACATCACACATGGGCCCTGAGTAACATTTGCCATTGAGACGTGCAGGTATAAAGTTACACATTGCATTACACAGTGCATTTACGGTACGCTAACCTGGAACTGTGGAGAATAGTGGATGGAATTGCAAATCCTAGGCTAAATCAGTTCACATGAAAGCTGAACTGGTGTATGCTTTACTTGTCATTTCTCCAAGATTCTCAGTTTAGTAAACAGGCCTGCCTGTATCTGTCAATATTGCAAAAATAAAAGATCCCTTCTGGTTCAACAACCTTCCAGAACTAGTTTGCGCAAAAATAGCTGAACTATTTAGTCAAGATGAAATTAAATGTTGTTTGACAAATGCTCATTAAGAACAAGATTTACTGCATTCCAGAACAATCTGTAATTATTGTTAATTAAGCGTGGCAAATTAAAGGTTACGTTCCACTGTATTTTCCTATTTCTAACATCTTAATTGATCAAATTTACACTGTAGCGGACCACGAGTAACTGGACTGGTTACCACGAGGTTTCCCACACAAACCGACAAGGTCACATT